GTGCTTTCACCCATGTGAACTAGTTCATATTCTGTCCACAAATTCACGAAGCCAGCATAGTACTCCTGTATTTTCTTCTCAACCTGGCTGTAAGAAAATATCTCTGTCTCAATCAGATACTGATGAGAGATGTTGGACTGTTGGTACACCTTTTCCATATAGGTGAAAATCTCACTAGTAGTTTGATAACTTCTCATTGGAATAGCAATCTTAGTTTCAACAGAGCCAAGAAGCCAAGACACTACTTTGGCATTGTCGATCTTCTGCTGTTTCAGCCCCTTGGAATCAGATTCATCAGGTTGTTTTGTGGAACCATCCACAAATCCCCATAGGCCATTTCCCTCAACATAGAAATGGAACTAGAATTTCCAGAAGGCATAGTTTGTCCCATTGAACTTTATTAGTAGAATATCCCTTTTCTCCATGGCCATTTTAGCAATGAGTAAGCAAAGAAAACTAAGAAAGTAGAGCAGCTGAAGGTCCAAATGAATCCAAAACTTGATGGAATATGTGTGTCTAATCACACACCACATGGAGGAATCAAAATCCAATAAAGAAAACAACCACACAAGGTTTTCAAACTGATAACAATCCAAAAAAGGTAAGTTTTCTGGACTGTCAAACAAGAAGGGAAAAACACCCTTCAAAAGGAATCTGAACTGAAACTAAATTATAGATCTATATAGATCTGACCTGGGTGACTTCAGATCTGAAGTTTCACAGAGTTTGGAGTAGCTGATTGAGAGAAAAAGAAGAAACCCTATTTCTGATGGCGATCTTCCATAGAAAGAACAACAGAGATGTGCAGATCAGTACAATAACCTACGAGATCCAAAACTGAAGTAGATGGGTCGATCTCATAGGTCTAAACTGGTTTCAATCAAGGACAGGTTGAAAAACCTGCTCTGATACCATGTCAACTTAGTTCAAATCAGAGAAGAAAAGCTGAGAATGAAAGGGTGTGTTCTCTCTTGAATCACACGCCCAGAAATGATTAACTTATATAAGAAAGAATACAATGTTATGGAAAGGACAGTTATGCCCTTATATTACAAGAAACAATAAAACAAAAAATAATGCACATAAGTTACAACATAAAAGAATGGTCCCAAGAGCCAAAAAAGGAAAGAAGATGTAAGAAACATAAATCAGTCTCTACAGGTTTTACGATGGATTTTTATCAAGACTGCTGGGAGATACTAAAAGAGGACCTAAGGCTGGTGTTCGATGAATTCCATACTAGAGGAGAGATTAACCTTGGGCTAAATTCCACCTTCATTGCCTTGGCACCCAAGAAAAGTGATGCAAAACATTCGAAGGACTATAGGCCGAACAACTTAGTTAATAGCTTGTATAAGATCATCACTAAGGTGCTGTCCATTAGAATTAGGAAGGTGCTCCTAGAAATCATAGCAAAAAACCAAGGAGCTTTTGTGAAGGGGAGGCAGATAACAGATCATATACTTATAGCAAATGAGAGTCTGGAGGATTTCAAGAGATCTAGGAAAAAAGGGGTGGTTTGCAAATTGGATTTGGAAAAGGCTTATGACTTGGTTGATTGGTCTTTCTTGTTGGAGGTGGTGATCAACTTTGGGTTTGGAGACAACTGGTGCAAATGGGTGATTGGCTGCATTAGGAATTGTCATTACTCCATCTTGGTGAATGGGGCAATGGTGGACTATTTTCTAGCTTTGAGAGGGATTAGACAAGGAGACCCTCTTTCCCCTTCCTTGTTTACATTGGTCACAGAAGTGTTGGGGAGACTAATCTCCAAAGCAGATTCTAGGGATTTAATAAGGGGATTGAGAGTTGGAAGAGAGAACATACCAATACACACTCGCAATTTGCAGATGGCACAATTCTTTTTTGTGAAGGAGGGGACCTCAATAGGATCAGAAACCTGAAGTTCACTATACAACTTTTTGAACAAATGTCAAACCTTAAAGTGAATTTTGAGAAAAGCTGTATGATTGGAGTCAATATGGGGGAAGGAGAGGTATGCGAGTGTGCAAACATTTTGGGGTGTGTAGTAGACCTGTTCATGGGCCCGGCCCGGCCCCTGGACGGGCTTGAATACACAAATGAGTTCGCGGGCTTGACTACGGGCCAAAAAGCCCGACCCACAATAAATTCGCGCCGGGCTTGGGATTTGCCAAAATAGCCCGGCCCGACCTATAGACTAAACCCAAAAACCCTAATATCCTAAGTAACCCTTCTCATTCATCTCTTTCCACTTTTCTAGTTAGCCGAACTGCCTAGTGCCGAACCTCTCTTCTCTTCACATCCTTCTCTTTCTCTCTTTCTCTCTTTCTCTCTCTCTTTCTTTCTCTCTCTCGTTCCTCTTCTCACTTCTTCTCTTTCAAATCTCAGACACCGGCAATGACGGTGAGTCCTCTTTCTCTCTCTCTCTCAGATGCGAACTGATTCCACTTTTCACTGTCAAAGTCGCATCTCACCGCGAACTCAGCATCGACGGTGGTGGTGAATCCTCAGCATCGGCGAACACAGTCACCGGCGGTGAGTTCTTTCTTCTGTTAGGTTGGGCTTCGGGCTTGGGCCTGGGCTTCAGGGATTTTATTAGGGCCAGGCTCGGGCCCATGTTGTAGGCCCGTTGGTCGGGCTGGGCTCGGGCTCAGGCCTAACAAAATCATGTTTATGAAGAGTAAAAGCCCGGCCCGACCCATGAACATGTCTAGTGTTTTGTATTTAATTGGCCCTTAAACTACCTTGGTCTGCCATTGGGAGATAATCCTTAGAAAGGTGAATTTTGGGTTCCGGTTGTGGAGAGGTATGAAAAGAAACTTGCCAATTGGAAGAAAAAACTGTTTGTCTCTTGAAGGGAGAATCACTCTAATTAGGTCAACACTAGCTAACCTTCCTGTATATTTTTTGTCAGTCTTTAAGATTTCGGTTAGGGTGGCTAGCATGTTGGAAAAAATTTTGAGAGATTTTCTTTGGGAGTCCGGGGAGGACCATAGGGTTAGGTGGGAGGTGGTGTGTAGGAGTAAGGAGGAGGGAGGTCTGTGAATTGGGAACAAAAGGAATAGGAACTTAGCATTACTAGAGAAATGGCTGTGGAGATTCTCATTGGAGAAAGAAAAACTTTGGGTTAAGATAGTGGGAAGTATCCATAGGGTGGTAGACAATGGACGGGATTCTGGGATTTTATCAAGGACTACAAGAGCATCTCCTTGGAAAGCTATTCAAGCTATTTTGCCCGTGTTCTCTCCCTGGATCAGGTATGACTTACACTCAGGCAACCTAATTAAATTTTGGGAACATTAGTGGGATGAGGATTCTTCATTGAAAGATCAATTTCCAACCCTTTTTGCTATCTCTTCCCGTAAAAATGAACCAGTATCTTCCTTCCTTGTACCTTTTAACTCACCTTCTGGATTCGGCTGGAACCTAGGGTTGAGAAGAGAATTCATGGACACAGAGTTAGGCTGTACTTCAGCCTTATTATCCATCCTTGAAGGGATCTTCCTAGAGCCAACAAAGGCAGACAATAGAATTTGGGCACTCACTCCCTTGGGTTCCTACACCTGTCCCTCTTTCTTTAAGGCCTTAATAGAAACTTCTTCTGTCGGATTGCCCTTCTCTGTAAAAGAGTTGTGGTGTCAACCTATACCTCCAAAGGTTGGGAGTTTCTGTTGGTAAGCCTTTCTGAAAAGAGTTAATACAGGAGATTTACTTCAAAGAAAAAGACCCAATAGTTGTTTGTCTCCTCACTGGTGTGTCCTCTGTAAATCTGATGGTGAGTCTGGATATCATTTACTAATTTCCTGTCAGTTTGCTAATGCCATTTGGGAATGGTGTACTTCTTTGTTTGGGTGCAGGTGGACCGCCCTTTGAATGTGCAAAGCTTATTCGATTCCATGCCTAACTGCCTAATAGAAAGGGCCAAGATCATGTGGAGATGTGTTAGGGCTGCATTTTGTTGGACTGTTTGGGAGGAGAGAAATTCATGGATTTTCTTGGATAAAGAGAGAAGCTTGGAAGTAATATTGGAGATTATTCACATTAGGGTGATAAATTGGTTGAAAACTTTGGAATTGTTTGCAGATTTCTCAGTTGATGAGATGCTAAGGAATTGGAAGGAAATTGCAGAATCAACTTCGGCTAAGAAGGCATCAAGTTCTTGCTGGACCCCTCCACCTAGCGGCTTTTTTAAACTGAACTTTGATGGCAGCAGTTTGGGTAATCCAGGGCCCTTAGGAATAGGGGGAGTGATAAGAGATGAAAAAGGGAATTTGTTAGCTATGCATTCTGGTCCAATTGGGGTGGGAGATTCCTTGAGGGCCGAGATACTAGGAGCTCTTGAAGGGGTAGAAAGGGCCAAGGACATGCATATTAATAAATTGATCATAGAAGGTGATTCTGAAATTGTAGTGAATTGGTTAAAATAGGACAAATCCAAGCTCTAGAACTACAACAATGAAAAGAGGAAACTTAAGTGGCTGACTAAGGACATGAAGTTAGTTGTACATGGGTAAAGAGAAGTGCAAACTCATTGGCAGATGGTTTAGCTAGGTAAGGGGTGAACAGAAACTCTATGTTTTGGGCTGTTTTGTAATTGACTTACGGTTTGGGTGTACATTGATGTATTAGGGAGCTAAGTTTTTTTAGCACCTTTGCTATGTAATTTATCATTCCTTAATAAAATTCACTGTTATTGATAAAAAAACTAACAAAATGGTGAAATTTTAGAGAAACTTCACCCAACATTGCCGATTTTGCGAACCGTGGTTAAAAGAGATGAATTGGGTGGCTAGCATGGGCTAGGCTGAAATTAAAGGGTGTTTGGATCTTTATTGTATCTACATTATTCTTTTTACTTGATAAGTTTTAGCATTTATTGGTAAAAATGTTTTACATGTCTTTTGTAACAATAATATGAATATTACACACATAGATGAGACTTTTCTTATAAAAGAAAAAGTAACAGTCATTGTTGACACTTGACAGATATTGTTTCCTGCTATTTTTTCTGTGTTTAGGTTGATCTGGTCTTGTAAGAATTCATAGTCTATTAGCCAATGCTTCTTTTAGAGCTTCTTCGTTACTATGATCTTCATCGACCACCACAATTTGTTGAGGCTATAAAATGAAGAGAAAAAAATCAGAGCCAAGTGTTCATATTGTTGATTGTTCTATAATTGAAGAACAATGGCTTTGCCTTTCCAAGTGGCTGCAGTTGTTGCTTCTCCCTCTTATCCAAATTCTGTAGCTTGGTCTGACGAGAACTTGGTGGCTATTGCATCTGGACATCTTGTCACTATACTGGTACACCAAAGAATTTTAAATAGTTCTAATAATAATGGAAATTCTTGGAGCTAAATTGCTTTTAGAAGTGATATGGATCTTTTTGTACTTTATATAATTTCTTTGCTGATTCACAGAATCCAGCTTTACTTTTTGGACCTCGAGGACTGATTACAGTCCCCCCTAGCATACCTTTTCCAATTGGAGTGATCAAGAAAGAAGGTATGTTTCAATCATTTGCTATTTTAACTACTTTTTTTTTTTGATAATTGAAGGATAATTCATTAAGCAAAGAAGTTTAGTCGTTACATGCATCCCTTTGAGAGGTGTGAGGTCCAGCCTCTCCTAAACATTACCATTTGCTTTTCTTAACTACTTGGCATTCCATTTCAGTTGTCTTAGTTATGCTTAAGAGAGTTACTCAGTTATTGAAAATGGGTTAGACTCATTTATGGCAAGTCATTGGTGGTTTTATGTTTGTTTTTTTTAATATTTGCCTTTTTTTTTTGAGAATGTATTTTATCATGTATTAGCAGAGAAGACCATCTGGAACACTAAAGTGATCTGTTTCAAGTTGAAGGGGCTAGAAGAGCTAAGGGAAGACCAAAAAGGACATGGATCAAAGTAGTAGGAAATGATTTAAGGCCTCATAATTTAATAATGGATATGGCACTTAAAAGAATGGAATGGAGGAATACTATTTGTGTAATTGACCCCATATGGTTGAGACAGATTTGATGATGATGGTTATTCTGTCATGTATTAGGAAAAGGAGGATAGTTGAGATCAAGCAAGAAGGCAAGGTTATTTGGGGAGTAGTGGTTTGGAAAATTTGGACGAAAAGGAACAAAGGACTGTTTGAAAACAAGTTCATTACAGAAGAGAATTTACTGAAAGGATTTTGGGGTAGGTTGTATTCACGGGTAGGAACACAGATTGTTCAGGAATAGGCCTTGTAGCTCCTTTTTTGATTCTGGAGCTCTTTTTGTATCTATGCACACAGAGTATACATATTAGAAGATGTGGAGATAACATTGGACACTGTAGGGCTCCTTGTTGTGCAGATTTGGCTTGTTTTTTGAGTAATTCAATACTTTACCTTTTTCCTTAAAAAAAACCTCTCTTATATTTCCCAGAAGCAGAAAATTACAAGAAACAATTACAATTGTGCCCAAAATGGATGAGTTCTACCTGTCTCCTGCCTAGCAAGAGATTCTGCAACTCTCACCTCCATATTTTGAGTTAACCATTTATTTATTTTTTTCTTTTCATTATTGAATATCCAATGACTTGGTTCTTCTTTTTGCAGCCAATTAACCACCAGCTTTGAATCTTCCTCAGTTGTCAACTTCTTAATATATAGAGATTCTGCTTTTTGGGTTCCTTCTATTTTTTGGATGGCATTATTTCTTGGAATCTAGGGTTAAGGAGAGGCCTTAGGAATTCTGAATTTGAACTTTCTTTGGACCTCCTCTCTTCTTTGGATGATGTTTCTTGATAATTGGATTATTGATTCTTGGGTGTGGTTTACTTCTCCATCAGATTCATTTTCTTGTGCCTTTTCTATCAAGTTCTTGTCTTCCATTGATCCATCTCCACAAGTTTTCCCATCCAAATCCATTTGGCTAGGGTCTATACCACCCTGAGTTAGGACTTTTTTGTTGGGAAGTATTTTATTTGAAGATCAATACTTTGTGAAAAAACGGAGGCGTAATTGGGGCATCTCACCCAAGTTTTAAAATGTTGATGTTGGTGGAAATGCCAGTCATCCAAATATTGGGAATACTTTGGAAATTTTGGAAAATACCTTATGGAAATATTGTAAAAATTATAGACATGGTGGGAACATTGTAAAATATGCAGTTCATCAAATAAACATTGTAAAATATGCAAAAATATAGAATGATATTTTATGAAATGGTAAAAGAAAAATAGGCACACCTTTCTACAATATTATCTTGTTCCAAATCATTAAACAAAACTAAAAAACTAAGGTTATATTCAAAAGAAATCGTTGTCAAGTTGTCCCGTAAGGCTTAAGGTTCAAAACTGCATGATAAACTGAGTTAAAGCAAAATTTAAACTCATAGAATTCAAATGGTTCTAATAGATCAATGAAATAATCTATTACAAAAACGAAAACTAATATTTAACTGTATGTAATGAATATCAAGCTGGCTCAAAGTGGTACAAACCATCAAGTTTGGCAGGCAATAACACTGTCACTCCACATAGTGCTAGTTAGTGTTCACTGGTTCCAGTAAAATTTTGTCACTCATTACCCATTGAAATGGAAATATGTTATGGAAATTGTTTCTTGTACTGCACATAGCGCTGATAGTGTTCACTAGGGAATATGCCGATTCCAGTAAAATTTCGTGTTGCTACCCATGGAAATGGAAATATGTCATGGAAATATTATGGAATTTAGGGACATTTTAAACCATGCTCCTTGCTCTAGCAAACTGTTTGTTACCTTGGAGTCACCTTCGATGATCAATCTAGTGAGATTCATTTATTGGCAATATGATTAGTGATTCCTTGGAGAATAGCTAACAGCTGTGCCCTTATGGAGTCCCCAACACCTATTAGGCTTCAAAGGATTGGCTTAATGGCTCCATTTTCATCTCTACAGGAACCTCCCACTCTCAAGGGGCCAGAGCACCCATGCTGTTGCAATCAAAGTCAAAATTTATAGATTCTCTAGGGGTGATGGCCACAATTGTTGTGCTGCCACCTTTGTTAACGAGGATCCTACTACCCCCCATTTACGAAGGATATCATCAGTAGAGAAACCTCGTAAGATACTCAGATTTCACCCAATGTGCTACTCTCTCTAATGATCTCAAAAATAGCTTCTTACTTGTTCTTTGGAGACCCTTGAATTTCTCTTTTCTCTTAATATCTAAATGATTGCCACTCTTGTGCATCTTCAAAATAATCTTCCCTCTCTTCCTTGGCCACCTAAATGTTGATGAACATAACAAGCTAACCACATTTGGAGCGTTCCTCCTGCATCTAAAAGAGAGAAAAACCACTCCCAAATACAAGTAGTAAATGGTAGCAAGTTTCCTCACTTTCTTTGCAATGAATACCAATATGTGGAGAAGGAATCCAATTAGGCCACTTTTTCTCTGAAAAATATCACAGGCATTAATTTTTTCATGGAGCACCTCCCAACAAAAAGCCCTGATCTTAGGAGGGATAGGTAGACTTCAAACTTCTTTACCAGGAAAGTGCTGNGGGGGGTGGGTGGGAAGAGTGCAAGGAGCCTGACAGGAGACACAAGTAAAAGATCCTGAGAGGTTAGCAATCCATATATTACCAAGTTTTAAAACTGGACTAAGATCTTATTCTAATTGGATAAGGTCAAAGCTAACCTGATCTGATTATTAAACAGATGCAAGTTCCAAAAATCTGAATTCAATGTGATTATGTCAATTGATTGTCTGAACCTGAATTAATCATTTCTGAAGTTGAATTGGGCACTGGTTTTCGGACTCAACTGACAGCCCTGTATGTCTCATTTTTCTTGAAGCTATTGGTTCTCAAAAATCATGCTTGAAGCTGTTATCTTCCAGTTATCACTTCATTCTTTAGCCTATTCTTCTGTATCATTTTTTTATGAGTGGTAAACAACTTTATTAATTTGAACAAGTGCAGAGATGTAGATAAGGAGTGCAAAGACAAGAAGGGATTCTTGTAGCTGACTCCAAATAATTGGGATTAGGGCTGAGTTGAGTTGGTATAAGTTCAAAGGTGTAGAGAATGTTAAGATTAAATGTATCAATCAAAATCTCTCCCAACAAAAGATTTAAGTTTGTAGGGCAAATAACTGATATTTGATTGTAAAACGCTGAATAAGTGGTGTCTCTTCAATTTTTGATCAATAATGAAGTGAATATAAGCCCCTGCTAAACCATAACAATTTAGCAGGAAACTGAACAAGTATGAAACAGCCAATACTGATAACTTATGACCTTATGGCTGCAAATGTTATAAAGAACTAAGATTGTTATTCTGCCACTGGACCTGTGCCCCCCCCAAACAAGATTCTTCTTGAAAATGAATTCTCCAACCTTACTTTTTCCATGCATTGATAAACAGCAAAGTGAATCACATTCCAAATGAAATTGCCTAGAATCCCTATCTAATGCTGGATAAGAAGAAATTGCTTGTTGCATAGATCTATTGTCAGTAGTATTGATATGTATTAGGACCCATGGCTCCATTGTAGTTTTGCTTCTCTCTTGTTGCTAATTTGTGTAGTTTGGGCTCAAACCTTGTTTAGGTATCTTCTTTCAATTAAATTTTATTTCTGATTGATGGAATGAAAAGGAAAATGGTTATTATGATATATCATGGACTACAAAATTGTTCTATTGGCTTATCAAGAGTTCGCTACCTTTTGATTTTTATTGTCTGCTGCTTATTTCAAGGGAAAGTGTGTAATCTTCTTCTATCATTCACTTCATGAATCAAAATACAGGTTATTTAGTCTGCATATGAATTATGGATAGTATGAATTCTAGTGACAAATGAGTCACAAAGGGTATGAAGGTGCTTGTTAACCAAATACAAACATCTTCACATACTGTTTCATTTATATCTCTTGTATTTTTCATAATTCCACAATATCTTCCATGATGCAGGGAAAATAATCACTTCTCCAAATCTTAATGTGAAATGATAATAAAGTCAAAATGAACTTCTTTTCCTTGTTCGCAAAATCATTTTTTAAACTTGTAGAAATTCTGATGCTCGATATTCAATGGACCAACTATAGTACTTCTTAATCTCTAATTCGTATGGAATTGTTTTAGTGTTGGACTTGTAATTATGCTATAATCAAAGTGTCAGCTACTAAAATATTTGAGAAATGATGATTGTGATTTATATTATAATGACACGAATAATGTCTTATTGCTAGAAACCTTTTTGGTGCTACTAAGAACATCTTATATGATTGTTTAGTACTCACTTAGAGTGTGAATTGTTATTTCCATTGTAAGTTTGCTTTTGTCCATGCTGATGTCATCCTGGCAACTTTATAGATCTTCTTTCTGGATGTTTAGCACCTACCTATTTGGCACGCGAAACTCGTCCTTGTGTTCGCTCCATTTCATGGTCTCCTCTAGGATTAGCTCCCAATTCAGGGTATGTATAGTGCATTATACTGTAATATTTTCCTACTTATGATGGCCTTTTTCAGAACACCTCTGGTGGGTGCAAAGTCATTTTGTACTTGTTGTAGATGCTTGCTTGCTGTTTGCACCACAGAAGGTCGTGTGAAGATTTACCGTCAGCCTTTTCTTGAGTTCCGTGCTGAGTGGGTAGAGGTATGCACTAAAAATGACTGTTGTTGACGTCAGTATTGATGGTGGATCTTATTCTTTGATTCATGTATTTGATATGAGCAAATTTGTTAACTTCATTATTTTTCTCTAATTTAGGTTGTCATTTTGACTTAAACAGTTTATTATTTGCTGTAGTTTTTCCTATTAAACAAGCTATTTTCCAATTCTTCTGTTTTTATTGTTCTTATGCTGTTAAGCTGTTATTAGCTGCATCCTATCCCTTGATGCATGTTATGCTGCTAAAACTTCTGCTCTTTTTTTCTAAATCCTTTATTGTTTTAATAATAATACCTTATTACAAATAGCACCAGAGTCTGTTGCCTCCAGAAAGTTCTCTTATTATGCTGCATACATATTGGTCTGCCGTCAATAGAATCCTAAGAGGATAACTAATGGAATAAGAACCATACCAAGAGGACTTCATGCAGTTGTACAAAGAGTTCTGGGAAACCAAGAGCCTAGACAGAAGAGTAAATGCAACATTTATAGCTCTATTACAGATGAGTGGAGCAGTGCACATAAAAGATTTCAGGCCAATAAGTTTAATAAGCAGTCCTTACACTGGCAAAAGTGCTGGCAAGCAGGCTGAAGAGAGTGATCCAGGAGGTGGTGGCCTGGTGGGGGAAACTCAGATGGCTTTTGTAGAAGGTAGATTCTAGATGGGATTTTGGTGGCTAGCGAATGCATAGATTCAAGAATTAGAAGTGGTAGACTATGTCTGGTTTGTAAGCTGGATATAGAGAAGGCGCATGACCATGTGGAATGGGGATTTTTGGAGGAGATGCAGAGACTGATGGGGTTTGGGGAAACTTGGAGGGGCTGGATGTATGAGTGTATTTCATCTGTGTCCTTTTCTTTGCTCATCAATGGGGTATCTTTAGAGTTCTTCCAAGCCTGTAGGGGATTAAGACAAGGGGATCCAATCTCCCCGTTGTTGTTTGTGTTGGTGATGGAAGCTCTAAATCTGATCATGAAGAAAGGAGTTCAGAGGGGTTGGATTGAAGGCTTTAAGGTTGGATCCGATGGACTTTGTATTTCCCACGTACAGTATGCTGATGACACCTTAATCTTTGTAGACGCCTCAGTGAACCAAGTACTGAATCTCAGGGTGTTACTAGCTAACTTTGAGCTGCTGACTGGACTGATAGTGAATCTAGAGAAGATCCAACTGATAGGAGTAGGAGAGATAAGTAGGGGAGAGATGGAACAGTTTGCAGGCTTGCTGGAGAGCAAAGTAGGGGAGCTTCCTTTTATGTATTTGGGGCTTCCAGTGGGGTCGAAGGCAGCAGCAACTAGTATTTGGAGGCCATTATTAGAAAGAGTAGAGAAGAGATTGGACAGATGGAAGGCTAAGTACCTTTCTTTGGGAATTACACTCATAAAGAGTGTCTTGGCTTGCCTACCAATCTATTACCTTTCCTTGCTAAGACTTCCTAATGAAGTGGCCAGGAAAATTGAGAAAATTCAAAGAGACTTTTTATGGGAAGGGGTTGGATGAGCTAAAACGTACCACTTGGTCAAGTTGGAAAAGGTGTGCAAGCCAAAGGAGGGGGGAGGCTTGGGGCTGAGGAGGGTAAAGCTAATAAATAAAGCACTTCTAGGGAAATGGTTGTGGAGATTTGAGCAAGGGAGAGAGAGGGAGGCTTTATGTAGTAGGGTGGTGGTTGGGAAGTATGGTGTGATAAGATTTGGGTGGGAACCAAGGAAAGTGAGGAGTTCCTATGGGGTGAGTGTTTGGAAAGGAATCATGGGTTTCAGATAAGATTTCAGAAGCTTGGTCAAGTTTAAAGCGGGGGAAAGCTCTAGGGTTAGGTTTTGGGAGGATGAGTGGTAGGAGATAGTAGTGATTTTAAAGGCGCGCCTAGGCGCACAGGCGAGGCGGGTTTTGGGTTATGCGCCTCGCCCAGGTCCTAGGCGCACCCCTTTCAAAAGGCATGCGCCTGGTGTGCCTAGGTGTGCGCTTGATGTGCCCAGGTTCTAGGCGCACCCCTTTTTGCTAATGTTGTTCATTCATTCATTGCAATAAAATATCTTCTTAAAAGGCAATGAAAGTTATAAAATCATTATCTTTTGTGAGAAATAAGAATTTCAGACCCTAGCATAGACTTGTTCGGGCTTGCCTTGAGGGGCTTGGTACAAAGGCGAGTCATAGAATCAAGAATGCAATATGTTTTACATCACATTAACTACTTGAAGCAATGCAATTAAGGAAAAAAAGATGCTTATGTATTTTTAAATTTTCATTTGAATACACTTCTACATGTTATGTTTATGTATTTTAATTTTAGATAATAGGTTGTTTAAATAATTTATTTTAAAATTTAAGTTTATATTTTTTATTAGCATTATGTTTAATATTTTTGATTTTTTTTGATTTTTCTTACTTTTCTTTTGTTTTTTTAGCCTTTTTTTGTAATTTTGCGCCTTTCTTAAAAAGGCACGCGCCTCGCCTTGTGCCTTGCGCCTCAGGCGCAAATTGGCCCTTGCGCTTTTTTTGCGCCTTGCGCTTTTAAAACACTAGGAGATGGGGAAACTATGTGAGGTGTGTCCAAGATTATACAAGTTAACAGAATAACAAGTCTCAATAGCCCAATGTTATGAGTGGAGAGGGGAGCAATTGATCTGGAATCCAAAATTCAGAAGGGCTCTATTCGACCAAGAAGTGGAAGAGTGTATATTACTGCTGGAAAAGTTAGAAGTAACCAGCATTTCTAGAGATATAGAAGATGGTCTCTGGTGGAAAGAATGCAAGAAAGGCAGATTCACAGTCAAGTCATTCTACAAAGCATTAATTAAAGAAGAAAGGGGTTCAGATCAGATAAAAGGAGTATGGGGGAACCCAATACCCCCAAGGGTAGAAGCTTTTGCCTGGTTGGTGGAACATGATAGCATCCTCACCCCTGATCACCTGAAGTCGAGGGGATTTCATCTGGCCAGTTGGTGCTATTTTTGCAATCAGGAGGAAGAATCAGTCTTCCATTTGTTCTTCTCATGCAGCATAGCAAGCTTCATATGGAGTTTCTTCTCTTTTCTATTTGGTATGTGTGGTTTCCATCCATCAGCTCCAGCAGAAATATTCTCACTGTGGCCAAAGTTTAGAGGAAGTAAGAAAGCCAGGATTATTTGGAGTAGTGTACCTTTTGCAGTATGCTGGTCTATTTGGAGGGCGAGAAACAGAAGAATTTTTGAGAACAGGTCAAACAATATAGAATACATGGTTGCTACAGTGTACAATCTGATATCAAAGTGGGTTCTCAGTCTCCCAGATTTTGATMAAGTCTCCAAAGCTGATTTATTGGATAATTTCTGGAATTCCCTTGACATACAGCCATGTAATGTAGAAGCCTTTTCAGTTTAAAGTTTTGAGCATGTTCTTGTTGTATTTGGTGTGTCATCTTGACAACCAAGGGAGTTAGGCTGCAACCTTTTTCTTTTAATGAATTTTTTATTGATTCTTCAAAAAAAAAGGATTTATAAAGCAAAAGAAAGCATAGTTGTCGAGGCACTGCAAAGCTAGGTGACAGAGGACTTTCCTTGTTGTCTAGACACTCTTCTAGGCAACAGGCTTGGCAAACTTTTAACATGTTTTCCATGTGTTTTTATGAGTTGGCTTTTTCCCCCAGTTAAAGTAGCAGCTAACAAAGAGTAAAAGCTGTATAACATGAAGGGATCAAACACCATAAGTAGAACGAATCATCTGAAAAGTAGAATCTTTGGGGAAAGTCAATTCCATCTTGAGTTAAACCATTTATGTGGCTTCTATCTCTCTTGATAGCATCCTCAACTTGGATCATCCAAAAAGGTACGACATAGATTCTTCATGCTATCGAGGGAACTTAACATCAATTTTAGCTGGATTAGAAGATCTGCAGGGTGGCAGATGTAGCAAAACAGGGAGTAAATAGAGACCAGTTGTTTTGGGCAAAAGTGTAAAACTGTATACCGGGGGTTGGTTGGAATGCTCCAACTTTGTACGAAACTTATTTCATTTTTAATTTAGCGAATCTGTTTTGCTGATAAAAAAGTATATGGTTTATACTGAAGAATCCAAAGCTGGGAAACACTATGCTTATGCAAACTATATTGTTTGCCAGAAAATGTTGTCACTGATGATGAAAGCAGTAAAGAACATCTTACCAGAATCCGTAAAAATGTGATGTCTATTTGATTAGGGGTGCAAGGGACTGATTTATGGTTGATTAGTTTCTGGTAATAACAATGTTATCAGACTTGAACTGGACCATTTGTTTGAAGCTTTGAATTGGTGATCCAGATAGCTTTCTGGGTCCCAGCTACTTGATGGTTTTTTTATTGGTTGAACAATGTAACTATGGTTAATGAGGTAAAACCTTGACCACTTTTTTTCATCTGGTCAGGTCCTAGTCTGATAAAATTTGTTCATAACGCAGCTTTATCTCTTACTTCTACCATTATTCCTTGCATCTTCAAGTTCAGCTATTTAGCTTTGGTTCTTGCTTTCAGGACTCTCAGATTCTTTGTTTATATCATGGTTATTTTGAAGAGAAGCATGAATAAAGCCAACACAAACAAGTATCTCTTTTTCACAGATTAAATGAAAACGCTTTTGGAAAATAAAAAGAGGCAAGAGAAACGAAAAAGCATGAGGTGAAAGAAGAAACAAATTAGCTAAGGGAAGAAAAAAGAAAAATTTTGATTTGGGAAGGGGGGAGATTATGCCTAACTTTAAAGCATCCCCAAAACTTTGTCTTTTAGCTATATTATTTGCCATCATTTTTCTATTTAGGGGGATACTGAGCTCATTGAACACATGAGGATGAGATGTCATAGAAGAAGCCAAGAAATGAATTTCTTTGATGTTAGAGAATTCTGCAGGATTTCTTTTAGGAAGTCAACCTTAGACTTAGTTGATTTAATATTAAATTTTATACATACGTTTTTATTGAAATACATGCACACTCATTTATTTCTTCTTTTCTTCACTTACTTTGTAGGGTTGTTGG